ATCAAAAAAGAAAATAATCACTTACTATATAATCACAACTAATTCTCAAAAGTAATTATCAGGAAAATAAGTGTGTGCAGAAACTATTGGAAGCAATATTACCCATATATTTGAATGCTTTGTACCATCTAGATTTATAGATTGAATATGGTACAAAAATGCATGTACTGTACCGCAGATGATGCCGTGTGAGATTCTGTCCAATCCCTCTTATTGAGTTTAGGCAAGTAGGTGCATGTTCACTGGTCTCTGAGTCCTTGATGCCACTCATCATCCTAGCTCACAGAATAAATACGTTCAATGGGTTCTGACAAGTAGGACCTCCTAGCCATAACTTCTCTATCCCCAGAAAATGATACATGGGCATCATCTGTATATGTCTTTCCCTGCTGGAATGTTGTCATGTCAGAATGAGCCAGCAGGAAGAGCAGCAAGTGAAAACCCATGGTTGGATCAATCAGGTTGCAATCAATCACTATAGTTGTGAAGTCTGAGTCTGAAACTCACACTTTACAGTCTGAGGTATGAAGCGCATAGACACTTACACTCCTGCCCAGTTCATCACACCTGATCCTCTCCTTTGAAATGGGTTAGGTGTCATGGTTCATGGTCTCCTGGATTGTGGCTTCTCATTGGCAAGACTGTATTTGAGGTGTAGAGCTGCACCAGCATGCGTAGTCTGCAAAGGAACAAGTAATAGGTTTATTCCGTGCTGAAAAGAGAAGAGAGAAAACACAACATTTCCGCTGTGAATCCTTCTTCTGGTGTAAGGGGGGGACAGCTGTATTTGACTGTCAATGTTAAGTTTTTTTTTTCTCTGAAGAATAAGTGTTAGCCCTAGTCCAGCTTCCAACATACAAACGGTATGAAGACATAGTTCTTTTGGTGACTTGGTTGTATCAGTTCATTTCTGTGATGTTCATTTTTGATTTAGACTAGTCTTGACATTCAGCTGGTTAAATTAACTTGTCACCTCTGCCCAATCAGCTCTCTCACTAATGAGGTGATTTAGTGTTCCTGTAAAAAACAGTCAATTGAGTGTATCAGTTAGTCATGAATGATCAATTAATCAAAATGCCACAAAA